CCCCCCCAGCTGACTAGGCAGCAGGTTTGCTTTTTTTTTTAGAGATGTTTTTCTTCACACAGCGCACAGTTAACCTGTGGAACTCCTTGCCGGAGGATGTGGTGAAGACCAGGCCTTTAACAAACGGCACTAGATAAATTCATGGAGGTTAGGTCCAGCAACGGCTGTTAGGTAGACTCTGTGGCCCTCTCCTCTGTTTGTCAGAAGCTGGGAATGGGGGACAGGGAGGGGGTCACTGGATGATTCCTTGTTCTGTTCACCCCCTCTGGGGCACCTGGCGCTGGCCGCCACTCTTCCAGCATCCTGGAGGGACGGCAGAACTAGTCTGCCCATTGGACAGATGGGAAACTGAGGATCTGGGCCTTATGTTAGTTCCGCCATGTGTCAAAGGTCCTAACAAACCCATCACATAAGAACTGGGGGGGGGGCTGCCTGACTTATTTTGGTCAGTGCATAATCAACCTGTGGAACTCCCTGCCAGAGGATGTTGTGAAGACCAGGACTTTAACAGCATTCAAAAAAGAACTAGATAAATTGATGGAGGTTAGGCCCACCAATGGCTATTAGAGGCTATGGACTCCATTCCTGCCCATCCTGGCTGTTTGTCAGAAGCTGGGAATGGGGGACAGGGGAGGGGGGTCACTGGATGATTCCTTGTTCTGTTCACTCCCTCTGGGGCACCTGGCGCTGGCCGCTGTCGGCAGACAGGACACTGGGCTAGATGGGCCTTTGGTCTGGCCGCTCTGATGTTCTTTGGGCTCCTACGTGCTATTGCAGTCGACACACACAGCACCCAGAGCACCAGCGCAACTTCCTGTCCTCTGACACACACACACGGCTGCCTTCTGGAGCATGCTTCTGGCTCTTGTCCTATCGTCCCAAAGGGACAGTTATGACAGACTACCGCAACGGAGTCCCGGCCCTGCTGGGGCCCAGCCGTCACCCTCCGTCTGCCCCAAGGCTGGCGTTTGGTTACACAAGACAGCACTGTTACCACCAGTGATCCCTGTAAGCTGAGGGCATGGGCAGCCACCCAGGAGGGATTCAACTGCCACCCAGCTGATCAGCAGCGTGCCCACAACTTTCCTCAGCCGCCAACCTGTGTGTCTACTGGTGGTGCACACACCTCAGTGCACACAATAAAATGTATTCCGCACAGGATGGAAAAATTAAAAGGGGCCATTGGTTACCCCACCCAGCAGTAGGCCGCTTTGCTGAAACGAAACGTGCAGCAATGTGATGGCGGGGGAGGGGGATGGGGGCTTTGCTCTGCGTCCGTTAGTTGGCGTCTGTGTGAGTGCCAGGAGCCGACGTGCGTGAGGATCAAATTTCCCTTGGGCCTAGCAGCCCCTGCACCTGGGCTCTGGTGCTGCTTACAGGAGGGGGGGAAGGGCCCCCCCAAAGCAAAGGCAGGCCCAGCAGCCCGTCTCGTGGCGCCCCAAAAGGCCGTGAGAGAACTGGGGTGTTGCCTGGGACGTTAAACAGAGGCGGGGCTTGACCCGGCTCCGCCTGGGCGCCCATCGGGGTGGGGAAGGGAGCTCGGCGGCAGGGCCTAGGTGCTGGAGGCGCCAGGGACCCCAGAGACAAGGCCGATGCTGGGGAGGAGGCACCAGAGGAG